TAGAGCTGGCCTTTTGTCACTGGAATTACCGTCCGAATTGCGTGAGAGGTCATTTGAACCAAGAAATGCCAGACAGAATTTTGCCGAGCGCACTTTGTTTCTATGTTAAGCGTACGATGGTTCCTCATGTAAAATGTGTACTAGAGTTATCACAAATGTACTACAGTCTAATAGTTGCAATTGAATTGCGTTTGAATGCTAAAATTTCTTCGCTAGAGGCGACACTAGTAAGGCTTGCACCTTATTCGTTTCGCAAAATCGCTATCACAAAATTGGGGAAAAGAGCTAGGTGTTCCCACGCCATCACAGTAACGGAAGCCGTGGAAACCCAGACCCGACCAGCTATCTCGAACGATCAAAATGTGCAGGGCTCCGCTAACACTGTTCTCTTGTTCAACGTGTAAACTGAAGCAACCTCGGTAACATCTACGCTACCGACTGATCGACAGAAACCGAAACTCTCCAAAGGTGGATTCATTTATTGAACAGTTACCGCTGAATTTATTCAATGTGTGACTCCGGTAGCTTCGGACGCTATTGTCACAACATTTGTCAAGAACCAAATGCAAACTACAGGCACCTCACCAAAGGCACACACAACCGCACCCCCATATCACCGAAAACTAGGGGGAACTACGGTGCCTTGACACATACGCACCAATTTTCCTGGGTCCAAGGCAAAATGCTTAAGAGGTAAACAGCTGTACGATCTGAATCAGTGGACTCGTGTTTGTGATCAGTTCGATGTTCGAGCAAGGCCGAATAAAGTAATACGCATATCCGAGAATTCAAACTAGATACACTACGGTGTGTCTGGGCCAATACTAGTAACATTGGAATCCACGGCTGATGTCGAGATGGTATTACAGTCTGCGTGCTGCCTGCGGACAGAAAACGGCGAGATACGCAATTTTCCGGATGCGCAATGAAGGGAACGACGGCACGCGTAAGGTATCAGGAGAATAATTCTTGTCCACGGTCTGTCTGAAGTATCGGCAGCTAGCGACGTGGTGGCCCACGCCCGGGATCTGAAAAAATAATGGTACATCAGTGAAGCTCTTCCTGTGGGTGATCACATGCTTTGATCAATTCCAAGGCTAATCGTATTGCCTCACTATGAATCCAGTTGCCAGAGAATGCTAAAACGTAGATCAGTCCCAGTGGATGGCTGTAAACTTCATGCTTAGCGGGCATAAACCGCGCAACACACTGCTTTCATAACTATGCTTCAAAACAGCCATTAGAGTACCAGGTTCACCCGAATTCATCGAGAAAGCAGCACCACGCAAGACTCAATGGAACCACAGCCGCGAGTCAAGAAACCATGTTTTCACACTATAGCCATTGAGGACGAATTGCAATCATATCGGGACCTGGCGATGTTACGCTCACCGTCAAATCACTCGAAAAGGATTAGGTGCCGAGCTTACGTCGATCGGTGTATATTCACTGCACACACACACACATTGCTTGTCAGGCTGTGCTGACGTCCAAGAAGCTACCCTTTAATTAGACTAATGCTTACCTGTCAAAATTGCTGAACTGCGATTCCGTCAGGGATCAAAGGCCTGGGACCTCACCGCTATTACGGAGACATGGTTGCGCCCCGACATAAGTTACATGAGGTTGAATTACCAAGTCTGTCCGTTGTTCGGCACAACTTACCCAGTAAAGTGGGCGAAGTGGCACTGTAAATCCACAGTGACCTCCAATGTGAGCCCTTGGAGGATCCGATCAACACGGTGCAGGATTCTCTTTAGTGCTCCCTATGCTTGAGAGACGACGACGCTTGTTTGATAACTGTTGTTTATCGCCCTCCATTTGCTACGTTCGAGCTGGACTTCAATCTGGCATCCGCATTAAGACTGGAAATAAACAAGTAATACAGTCACTTCCTCATCACCGTCGATTTCAATTTTCACGCTCTGGACTCTTAAGCCATTCCTGGATAACAGTTGAAAGCAGATCTGCACTCGTCGCCAGTTCCCTGCTTTATGGTCGCATGAACACTCCGACCAGATTCAGAGAAGCAGAGAGGCCATCCATACCAAACCGGATATTCACTAACGAAAAACTCACGCTTAAGACGGTGACCAACGATGCTCCACTAGATCTCAGTAATTATGCAAACTTGCTCCCCATGTACACCTGTTATGCAGAATACACTAGGAAGAATACCAAAGTGACGCAAGCTATAATACGCAAAGACACATTAGCCAGGATAGTTGAAGCAACAAACTAGAATTTCCTAGCCGGTGATACACTGGATACTGTCTGGGAACGTTCTGTCAACAAGTCCAACACCCTGGTTGTTGATTCCTAAGGAACTAAGGCTATCCGTTCCAGCAACATGGTCTCGTTTGTGCGGAGCAAGATGCAAAAATACATGGCGAATAGAAACGTTGCATAGCACACTCAGATGACCAACGTGGCTCAAACAGCTGGAGGATTTGCGTCGTCCACCGTCACGATTGAATTCAACTAGAGTGTGAGGACAAGATTGCATATCCACAGGACTTAATAGCATGACATTTTAAAACGTAGACTACTACACATAAGTATGAACAGCTTTCGCTATGTATATAAGATTTCCCTTTTTATGACGGCCAATGCCCTGCAGCAGCATATATGCCAACTTTTCAAGGTGTTTCGGGAGATCCTGACCCACCGTATTTTGCTGTGAAATCATCATATTCACCTGTTAGCTGTGAGGCCACCCATCTCTCACTGAATTGTTGATATTCGTAGCTAATAAATTGACTAAACCTTCTGGGAGATTATTGCAGAAACGTCTTGACGGGATGCATGTTCCGACAGCATGAAAATATGAGATAATAACTTCGTTACAAATGAGGTAGTCGTTCGATCCAACTAACTATCATCCTGTGACCATTCTTCCAGTTCCTTTAAAAGTTATAGAGGATATGGTTACTGGCGTCCTCATGTCTCACCTTGACGAACTTGACTACATCGTGCAGCAGCAACATGGCTTCTACCAAACCGAACGTGCAGTATCAATCTACTGTCAGCATGTGACAGCTGAATCGAAATAGCGGATGTTGGTGCAGGAGTTGAGGTTATCTACGTGGAGTTCTCTAACTCATCCAGCCAGTTGAACTCTCGCATCCTTCTAGCCAAACTTCAGGGATACGACATTGGTAATACCCTCCTAGGGTGGATTAGCAACTTCCTCTAGCATAGGCGTCTGGAACGGAAACTTCGCGAGTCTTTATCAAATGCTATCCAAGCGGAATGCGGTGTAACACAAGATTCCACATTAGGTCTCCACCTGTATTTTATTTCCATACACGGTTTTGTCATCTGAATCACTTCACAATGTTGGCTTTACGTCAACGACAACAAAATTCCGTGACCGGTCCAAGCTCCAGATGATCACACACTGCTTCAAAACGACCTCAACATGATTTACAGATGGTCAGCCCAGAATCGTTCTCGGTTCAACTTGACTAAATGTTGCGTCCTCCAATAACGAGACCAAATGATTCGCACCTATAGGCCGGGCGACCAGGATCCCCCAGCACCGCTCTCGGAAAATATATCTCAGTGCGCTGGTCCCGGATGATTTCGGCTGCTCGGAAAAATCCGCCATAGCATTAAGTAAGAGCATCCAACACTTGGGGCTCGTAAAGAGAACTTCTGGTCACTCTGACCCAGCTACATTTCCCCTGCTACTAACTGCCGAGTATTAGCAAAGATATCAAATGGTTCTCACCTATAAGCTGGGTGACGAGAGTTTCCAGCACTGTCCTCAGAAAACAGAGCTCGGTGTACTGATCCAGGAGTACTTTGGTTGCTCGGAGCATTTTCATTAGCACCAAGAAAGAGCATCTAAAAAGTGGGACTCTTAAAGACAGCTTCTGACCACAGTGACCTATCTACTCTTCCCCAGCTACGTTATGCCTACATATGCCCACATGTGGAATATGCGACTCAAGCATGGGAGTCATGGCTGAAGCGAGATCTCACAGTCTTGGAAATCCTTCTTCTTCGGCCCATTAAAAATGTCAAACGGACTATACCATCTACCTTACGAACAAAGCCTGAGTACCTTTGGCGTATTCAGTGGATGCTATTAGCATTTGGGTGCTGCTCTTATCATGGTTTATCAAATTTTAAGCGGCCGTATTTACTCGTGATACCAGCTGCTAAAATTAAGCAATAACAACCGACTGAGAGGCCACCGTCTCAAACTGGCGGAACAATACAGCCGGCTAGGTTGTAGACGGAATTTCTACTCGCTACGTGTGTACCACGTAAGGTATTCATTCCCGGAACTTGTTATTTCAGCCCTTGCATTAGCTGTGTTAAAAGATCGTATCGGCAATGCACTGGTCACGTTGCCTCATCTCATCTAACACATACACAGCGTACACAGATTCAGAAAAAGCGCAGCAACGCACACCCATTTTTATAGGACAACCAACGTGATATTGATACATATTAAATTGTATAAAACCATATGTGAACGATTTTTAAGAACAACATCATGCTCGACAAGCCCACTGATTTCGGTTTCACTGTGTATAGTTGTTTTTTCTATTCTCTTGAAAACTCTCATCATCCTGCGGGAGATGTTAAGCCTAGACACTTTTGTCCCCAATAAACCACAGACCACTGACAAGCAATGTTTACAATACCAGTTCTCAAGTGCCATCATACATTGTCACTTGGGTTTGTGACACACGTGGCAGATCATTCTTTTGACTGTCAAGATTAAAACGGTTCAGAGTGCACAATGGTTACTACAAGATCTCAAAAATGCAGAATGCTAAATCGTGGAACGTCACTTTTACCTTGAGCGTGCTTTACGCCGCACGCTATCAAATTCAGTGGGTGTGCAACAGTCATCGCATTATTGAAGTCTTGCACTTGAGTACATTCGACCATGCCGTTCTAAATTGAGAAGCCCCTATTTTTTCACTTTTCAGAAATGACAAATTTGCCGGCTTGTGCGGAAAAATTTGCAATAGCGAACTTACATGAAAGTGCAAAATGATTTTCCAAATAAGACCAAGAGTCAAGCTCGGGTTCCCGTCGACAATGTCTTGCGCTCCCAAGTTTTCCAGATGTGCCCCTTGTGCATGTAAGAAGTTCAGTGCGTTGCTCACATTTTCCAGTTGATGTATGCGTGTTCGACCGGAGTTCGAGCTAACCTGGTTGGCAGGAAGAATCAGCTGGTGCTTGTGAATGGATACAGTAAAAGCTACAAAAGTTGGTCTCTCAAGCGGCTTGACAAAAATGGTCAACAAATGGAAGTGCTAAACACACAGAGGTCTGGATCCATAGGGTGCGCACGGTGAACGCTTATACAGTGAAAATTAAAACGGTCAAATTGGAGTGCTGATCAAGATGTAGAGGTGGTCAACTCCTGAGGTTATGGATAGGATATCAAACATTGAGGTCGTTCGCTTATGCGATTCTTCTCATTAACCCTAGTAAGATTAATTGATAGTTGTTATTTCCTGGTACCATACTAATGCATACTGAACAAGCTGTATTCACTCATGAGTTGCCTCGGTCCAATGGAACCAAAAGGTAACACAAACGATTAAAATGATACAAACATTGCATTTAATCTGCAACGAAATATACTTATAGTAACTTAGGCATCTTTGACCAAAACGTGTGATAAAATGTAGGCTGTGCGACCTCTATATAAGCCAGGTGCTAAACTTTGAGGCGATAAATGAGGACTAATATCAGAGTTCAAACCGTTGAGAATACAAAGACTCCAACTGACCGGACACATATTAATTTTTGCCTGTTTTTGCATTCCGCACATGAATATGCATTCGACAATGTTGTCATGCAGTTAGAAACATCTAATTGCAAATCATGTTGCCGTCCGTAGTCGGTCGGTTGAGAATGATTGGATGGTTTCTGCATCCACTTCTGCAGCTGAACCGTGACGGTGAAGATTCCGAATTCAGCAGCTCGAGCAAGCGGAAACTTTGACCATGGCAAATAAGACGCAGCAATATTTGTCAGACCCCTCGCTAGCAAAAGACGGTTCTTTGCATATAATTGCAATTGCGCCGAGCTCAAGTACTTAGGTCCCTAAGGAAAGTGCATATGTGAAAATTCACGCCACCTCAATTACATCTAGTTAGACAGCCATCGGTTTCAAGATATACAACTTAAGTGAGTCTTAGCCTTTCGGGACCCGTCAGTAGTACACCTCCTCTTCCTTATGCCCTGATCTCCAAACTACGGTCTACCGTTAACCAGCGGATACATAAGCTGCTATAATAATTTAGCTAGTTTTGATGTGACAAGGCTCGATCTTTAAGAAAGTCCCTGCTGCTGCCATGCAGAGGTCAGAGCAGTCAATCAATCAATAAATTCCCAATCTTTAGTCACCGGCTAAACAATGGCAGTATGGGCAATTGGTGTAGAAGCGCGCTTGTGGCAGACTAATTGACTGATTTCCGTTTTCACTGGGTTGGCTTTGGTCATATTAAGGTCGAACTTGAGAAAAGCGCTTTTAATCTCTTACCATCGTCAATTGGTGGCATGGACTACTTGCAAACTTAGTACTGATCACACGCTTATGATAAATCTGGTGTGGTGGCATCAACACACTAACGTAATTAACAATATCTTGATAAATTGTATCTACATGTTGTGGTTTTCAGCGCGAATGATATTTCTCTTCCGGTTACTGTTGACACTTGGCTGGAGATTGTCTGTTTTTACAAGTTCCAAATTGTGAAAGCGCAGTTAACAGTCATGGTTCCGTGCATCAAAGTACCACTTGTCTTGGCACTTGTTTTAAAAATCATACTAGTGGGACCTTTAATACTCATTAATATGGACCCGGGTGCTCACACACTAGATTTTCGGTGACTGTGGTGGGGTTTATGTTAAGTGCATGTCAGCTGCGGATTTCCATCAACATGTTGTGAAACCTTAAGTTATTAGTATTATTATTATAATGTTAGCATTAGTATTGGTAATATAAATATTACCAGCTGGTGTTGTGCAAAATGCTCATATTTCAGTATTCTTATAGACGGATGAGGCATTGACAAGATCCCCGCTAGCTTGCCGCCTCATTGAAATTTCCTCTACTTTTCTGAACATGCCAAAATTTCCTGAAGTAGGCGCCTTCCGGGCATGATATCCTACTTTAAAAGTGGTCAGTTCTCAACAGTAGTCATCAAGCAGACCGACGGAAGTAATTTAAATGCTAAAACTTCTCTTTTACCCCAGCAGATTTGGAGTCTACAAAACTTACAGACACTTAGGACTATGTGTTATTAGTTATCGTAATAAACACATCAACGTTATGTTCTATGTATTCAAGGACATGTGAAACCAAACGTTACCGGCCTAGAAGGATGCAGTCTTTCGTAAGTAGCAGGACACGCAAGTGCATGGCATTAAGGGACTTGCCATGACACACTTATATAGCCTCCCCGAACGACCATACCTGGGATATCTACACAATACAAAGGAACCACTGTGTCAAACTCGTCCGGGAGGATAAACTTAAGAACCAACAAGGTCTAATGGAAAAGTTTTGCTCCAATCCCAAACTGCTTTACAGACACGTAAACAATTTGCGTCGTGTTAAGCGCGGTATTCTTGCTCTGCACACAGCATGCGGGTTAGCCCAAACCGCACAAGACGCGGCCAACGTTCTTGGACAACAATTTGGCCGTACCTTCCAAAGCGCGCAATCACCGTACATCCTGCCTAAGCAGATAATGCCGCCATCAGGGCTTAATGACATATCGTTTACCTCTGCAGCTGTACTGAAGAGGCTGACGTCTCTGCGCGAGTTCAGCTCCCCGGGTGCGGACGGCATTCGACCGAAGGCGTTGAAAGTTGCTACCATGAGTTTGGCAGGACCATTAGCAATTTTCTTTCAACGATGTCTGAACGACATGCACGTCCCCACGATGTGGAAGCACGGAATCATCACGCCTATCTACAAAAGTGACAGCCGTGCTGAACCAGGAAATTATCGCCCGATAACACTACTTCCTGTGATCTCCAAGGTTATGGAGTCCATTGTAGCTGAGGCTTTAATGGGGTACCTGGAGAACAACCAAATTCTCGTTCCGGAACAGCATGGATTTCGCCAAAATCACTTCTGTACAACTAAGGCAAAGCCATTTGCGTTCACCAACATGCAGTGCCGCAGGATGTAAACTCCCGCAGTTGATTTGGTGCGTTGCGTCGGCCAACAGCACCTTACAGTATCGCTGCACCAAGTCTTCATGCATGAAGACGCAAAATAGACCGACCTTATTGGATCACCAATCGTAAGCAACAGACACTTCCCATGCTGTTCCAACCAATGAACCACCTGAACCCCCCTCCGTCCGTTTTACGCACGTGTCAGCGCCTCATGAAACACAAGTTTCCCTTCGTCATCCATCGGCCATGGGTCCTCCACACATGAGTCGGTATTACACTGTTCCCGCACTTCCAAATTATTCCATCACGTGTCGGATGTACGCATCGAAATTTTACATACCGAACCGAAAGCCCTAAGTGACCTTCCTACTACTTTGTTCAAGTGCAAGTTGAGCTGAGACGGCAAGGATAAGGGAATCCATTACGTGTTCCATCTGGAGTGGATCGTTAAGCCAGAAATTGATGGCATGCCCAGGGATTAATGGATCTAAAACAGAACCCCCGTATCCCACCCTGTCCAACCAGTTAATGCCCATATTTTCTGCCCTAGCAGTCCCTGCTGTGGCAGTCGTATGACTTAAATAAAGGATAGGAAGAGAAATCGAAGGCACAGAATAAGGAAGTGCACTAGCAATAAGAAACTAATACCACTGCTTGAAGAAACAGAGGGAAAAGCAAAGCGAAGTACGAAGAGGCGGGTTACTAGAAAGCATGGAAAAGTTTAAGGTTGTCACTCCAGGGCGTCCAGTTGCTGCTCAAACCCATTAGCTGCAGATTCCCTGACAACATTTCCGGAAGCATGTTCCAGCGCTCCATGACTCTGCGTGTCTGCGGGATTTCCGCCCCAACCCGATCGGACCGCGGTTTGTCCAGCTTCAAGGAATGACTGCATAGATCTGGCCCTCTAAGGGGTCGGTATAGCCTAGATAAACCTGGACGTACCTTCCCAGTTAAGATACGGTAGGTTAGGGTTACGTCTCCCGTAAGCCTTCGGTAGTACCTTGAGCGCCTTCCCAAACTAAGTAGACGCTCGGGGTACGTCAGTCCACGTAATCCCTCAACTAACCTAGTGCCGACTCGTAAAACCTTCTGTAGCTCCCATTTGTCCCCGACAAGGCAGGTCTGACAAGCCTAGACGCAGTGTTCTAAATGCGGCCGAACGAAATCCGAGCACAGCCTAGTAGACATGCTGCCCGTCTAGACCCCGGGAGAAACCCGTATTAACCACAACCTGCGGAAACCTCTGCTTGCCGCTTTCTTCCGGTTGTCGCCCGAGTGTAAAGCCGAAGCGTGTACGACGCCTAGATCAACCTGGCTAGATACATCGGGGAGTTCGACCCTTCCGGGAAAGTACGTCGCAGGAGAACAACCTCCTCCAATTTGAAGAAAGGAGCACTTTGCCTGAATAATGGGCAGAAACCATAAAGTAGACCAGTCCCAAAGCTTTTCTAATGCTCCCTGCTAAGCTTCCAAACCGCCGGGAACGTAGACGTTGTTCCACAGCTTCAGTTCATCTGCAAATAGCAGCGATGGCACCTCATGCTCCGCGGGGAGGACATTCACATAGAAAATGAAAGCCTTATAAGTACCCAGCCCTGAGGCACGCCCCTGAGCACAGATTGCCCCTGTTAACATATTTGAGGATGGGTCAGATTGCAGCTTCCTTACATTTGGAAGGCAATGCACAGCTGTAAGGGATTTCTCGAACACCATAGCGAGCGCTTCACTTATTTCCACTGCCAACTCCTGCAATAGTTTCGGGTGAATGAAATCTGGCCCAGATACCTTAGAAGACCTCATCACTTGTAACCGGCTACGAACTTCCGTCCCCGCTGCAATAAAATCGGATACTCCTGAACCCTCTGGGATCCTGCAAACCAGCTCAACGCATGTCAAAGAGGTTTCCATTACACACCCTGTCGCATATTGCCCGTTAAGTACCCAGGACTTGTCATAGTCCGTATGCAAATGACTACCATCATCACGCATCAATACTGGAATCGACCTGTTCGAACCGTAGCGCTTTTTGAAAAAAAATGAATTTTTTCGGTTCTCTGTAACTTCGTCTGCTAACCTGGACAGCTTCGTCGTCTCAGTTCCCACAATGAAAACCAGAAGCCTTGGCTCATCCATTGATAGTCTGCGTGCCATATGTTCGGAAGACTAAACGGTACTCTGGTAGCGTCTAGACAGAGTAAAACTGAAGAGCAAACAACCTGAGCACTGGAACCCAGTGGTGGTCCGTCAGTAATGTCACCAACAAACCCGAGTGACTTAGCAAATACAAGATCTAAGATACACGGTACCTGGACGTCCATGTACCTAGTGAGGAGGTCCACTAAGTAATGCAAAGGTCCTTGGAACATCTGGTAAGCACATCGGGGCAGCATATTCCTGACACTGAGTGGCAAGAAAGAGCTGCCCAGCTACCCTCTGGGAGGTTGAAGCCGCCCATTAACAAACACTCGTTTGCTGACGGGGAGCAAAAGAAGGAACGTACCTCTTTGGATAAGCTACAAGAACTTCTATGCACAATTATAACTGTAACCTGAGTCGAGGATGTGCTTATCACAGCCGCCAGAGCTTCAACAGTTGTCTGCGGACTGAAATAAGCAAGTCTTCAAAACGTCACATTTATAGCTCACATAAAGAGGAACGCCTCCTCCCTGCCTGCCAGCTAAGCGATCGCATCTAAATAGTGTGTAGCCAGACAGATGTACTTCACCATCCGTGATGTCCTGAGACAGCCAAGGTTCAGTGAATCCGAGGATATCGGGATGAGACTCATCTACAAGTAGACCTAATCCGTGCATCTTATTCCTTAGGCTGCGCACATTACCTAGCCCTATCTACAGGTATTCGCTAGATCCAGACCTCGGTCTGCCCTACCAAATTGGGTAGTGGTAGGACGGAAAAGAACCCCAGGCCGACCACCCGAAAACCCAATAACCAGAGAGCTTGTTCACCGGCCGCTCATCTGCTTTTGTGGTCCTTGATAGCCTCCCTTATCTTCAGCCTGTCGGCCAGCGGAAGGTCCGGCTGCACACTAATATTTGTGCCTTACAGCTTAAAAACAAATCGCATGAAGGCGTTGCATTCCTCCAGGGTAGAGAGTACCACACGAAGTAGCTGCGGTTGAGGGTTTGGTACATTAACTGCGGTGTTCCCCAGTCTACTCGGTTTCCTTAGAGCAACGCCTTAAAATCCAGGCTGAAGTAGCTTCATTACGTACGTTTTAAACCATAGATGGCGTGCGAGCAGCAGGAAGGACAGCAGTAGATACAGCCGCTTTAACGGAATACATCGCTACTATCCGTGAAAGAATCGCCACGACGGGGTGTATTAACCCCACGG